GCACAGGTGGAGAAGCCCTGCTCTAGATGGCGACGGTGGAAGTGAAACTCGGCATCTCACAGACCCGTGCAGGCTTCTGCCCTTCACTGAACTCACTGGAGACTCAGCAGGCAGAGGGCGAGAAGTCCTTTCCCGCTGTTGGGAGCAGGCCCCTGGGAATGGGAGTGTCCTGCAGCAGCTTCTGAAGGTTGGATTCCCAGCTGGTGCTTGTTAAGAAGCTTGTGTGCTGTTGGGAGTGATGGGAATGTCTTGATTTCAGCTTCCTGGTTTGGGGCTAAGGGACATTCTAGAAGGGATAGTTCTGAATTTTCAATGTTCTAAGAGACAGTCTGGAGGTTTGGTCCAGAAGCTATTCCTTGAGCTTCCCAGTGATTTCATAATCATCACACTATTAACCCATCCCTGCCTAAACTGCCCAGAGAATTGTCTGCTTCTTACACTACTGCTAGATTGATGATCAACTGGTTTCAAAAAGCAGAAGTTATATAAGCTATGCGTATTTTTTTCAGTGGTTGAGCTTGTATTGGTTTCTGGCTCTGTTCTATCGCAGCTGCAGCCCTTCAAATTCACACACATACACACCACTCCCTAAATAACTCTTGGGTAAAGTGGCTATCAAAATTCCAACAGCCCTTTTGGCAAATAATATTAGAAAAAGCTTCACGTAACAACTATGGAATATGCTCCTAGTTGTATGAAGGAGTAAAGAAAGGTGAAGGGGAGGGGAATCACACCTTTAACTAAATTAGAAAAAATAATTTTATTGGGGCTCGTACTTGTCTTATCACAATCCATACATCCATCCATTGTGTCGAGCACATTTGTACACCATCAGCTTTCTTCACATTTGCTTGTGCACCCATTTTGTCTTCAGCGATCGTGTTGGGAAGCTGAGCATCATGGAATGCCAGGTCAATAGAACAGTGTTCTTGCATTGAGGGAGTCCATCTGTTACCTTAATACTAAACCTATAAGTATATGCATAGATCTATTTCCCCATCCTCATATATATATTTACATATGTACATGCCTGTATTTAGACCTCTATAAATGCCCTTTGCCTCCTCGTTCTTCCTCTATTTCCTTTTACTTTCCTCTTGTCCCACTATCATGTTCAGCCTTTATTCAGGTTTCAGTAATTCCTCTTGATTACATTGCCCTTGATTAAGCCCCACCAGCCATCCTATGTACTCCTTGTCATCAATTTTAGATCACTTGTTTTTCCCTTGTCCCTGGGTGTGCTAACACCCACTTCCTTTCCCCCGCTTCCCCTTCTCCAGTTGTCCCACTGAACTGTAGGTCCCATTGTTTTCTCCTCCGGATTGTTTATCCAGCCTATGTTATCTAGATAGACATGCAGAGACAATAAGCACAAAAACAAGACAGAGCAAAACCAAACAACAAAAGAAAACAAAGTAAAAATGAGAAACATGGACAATAAAGCCTATAAATAGTTCCATGTCGTTTGTTGACCTTTAGGAGTGTTTTCTGGTGGAGTCTGATGGGGTGCCACACCCTGGCCCCAAAGCATATTTTTGGTATTCCCTGGGACTTCACTGTTTTGCTCCCCTTGCTGTTCTGTTGCACACCCTTAGCATTTCACCCCGGTGTGGTGTGGTCAGATTGGACACAATTCCTGTACTGTGTTCCAGTGTTGTCCCCCATAGTGGTATGGGTCAGTGAGGGACGTCATGTCTCTTGGTGGGGCCGGCCCTATGGTCCTTTCAGTGCATTGGCTGCTCTGAGCAGGAATATCATCCTAGGGGCTTGGTGGGACAGGACGTGCTCCACTCTCTCTCCTTCCCTCTTCGTTTGCTCCCGTGTGCTCTGATCAGACGCCCCTCTCCCTGAGCTGCAGCTTCAGTGCTGTCCTCTGAATTCTTCTGGGGAAAGAGGGCGGAGGTGTCCACAGTTGGGGTTGGGACCCGCCCCTCAGACCTATTGATTCCCTCCCTCATGCCGCTATGTTGTATTCACATCTTGGCACACCGGGTTGAAGTCTGGTCCCCTCTCCCTCTCCTGTGGAGATATAAACACCTTCCCCTTGGGCGGGTTAGTGCCCTGTTCCCTGCTACCCATTTCTTTTTTTTTCTTTTATCCTCCTTTTTGGTTGGCTACCATATCTATCCCTGGATTGGGTCTGGCCCCTGCCATACTACCTGAACCTCACCCCAGGAATGTTTGTATACAGTAGCTTGGAATTATGCCCTTTTTCATTTTTAAGCTTACCTCAGAGGACTCATGTACTTGTTCTTTGGTGCTTGGCTTACTTCACTTAGCATAATTTCCTCCAGTTCTTCCCATACAGCGATGTACTTCATGGTTCATCACTGAATTTTAAGGACGCATAGTACTCCATTGTATGTATGTACCAGTTTTTTAATCCACTCGTCAGTTAATGGAAATTTGGGTTGTTTCCAACTCCTTGCAATTGTGAACTGTGCCAAGATGAACATTGGAGCACAGATGTCTGGCCGTGGTTTGTTTCTTGCTTCTTCTGGCTATATACCCAGTAGGGGGATTGCTGGGTCGTATGGTAACTCGATTTCCATGTTTTAGATATTGCCAGATCAATTTCCATAGTGACTATACATACCTACAGGTCCACCAGCAGTGGATGAGAGTTCCTGTCTCCCCGCAGCCCCTCCAACACTTGTTGCTTTCTGATTTTTTGAATTGGGCTACCTTTGAGGGTGTTAGGTGGTATCTCAATAGTCGTTCGAATTTGCATTTCTCTCATGACTAATGATGGGGACCATTTTCTCATATGTTTATTGGCCATTTGGATTTCTGCCCTTGTGAAACTTCTGTTCGGGTCCTTTGCCCACCTCCTCAGTGGGCAATTATTAACTAAATATTTGTATGACAACAAAAATATGCCTGAGAAGAGGAAGGAGCCAGCAAAGATAAAGGCATAAATTTAATGACTAGTATACAGAGATTTGATAAATCAGGAGAAATTGCTGAGAGACTCACCGTGGGAAATGTTGGACTAAAACCGATTTTGTTAGTGGAGAACATCCAGAACCTTTCATAGGCTCCCCAGCAGGAAAGGACATGGTCCGCACACATATTTGCCCACGGAACCCTTGTGTGTTGTCTGATACAGAAGTAAGAGGACTTCTACCACACATATTTTGAGAAACGACAACATGGAATGTAGGGAAGAGGAGCCGTTCACACTGGGTGCATCCACTGGGTGTCTGCAGGCTTCTGGCCTGTTTGCCGGGAAGCTCCAGATGCTCCATCCCCAAACAGCTTCACGGTTCCCATGGTTCTGTGGCCCCAAGCTTGATCATTTCTGACATAATTTGCATCTCGCTGCCCATTCACATAGAACACTATAAATGTCTGCCCTCTAGTGAGTGGGGAAATCAACTTGAGCGGTCACAATCCACATTTAAAGAAAAGGAAAAAAAAGATATACAGCTGGCAAGGATAAATAAGCAAGTGTTATTTTGTGTAATCATGTGTGTTCTGTTCACATCATAACTTTGCTATTGTGAGTTATAATAAAAGAAAGAAACTCAAAAACCATGGGATGAAAGGGGTGAGTTGATTGGTCAACGGACAGACGGGAGCCCTGTCGTAAGAGGAGGAGGAGAAGACAATCAAAGCCACGCAATCTGCCAGGTCCGCTCTCAAATTGCCTCTGCAGGAGAGTACTGCAAGTCTGGTTGGCTAGCAGGTGCTGGGAGTTTTTCCCTAAAGAAAGTTATAAAGAGGTTCGCTTCTCCGTCAGTTCACACAAAGCCCATTTCAACAGCAGACGCGATCCCACTAGAGTTGCTACAAACTTAAACTTCTCTCTGCTGCCCATTGGTTTGTATTCTGAAGCCCAATCTATCTCCCAGGACACATTCTACCTGCACCCCCGCTGTGGTCCCAGCACGCAGACATCCCCACTGCAGGCACATCCCCAGGGGCCGCCCCACGCTGGACCTAGAATTGAAGAGGAAGGAAAATGCTCAGCTGCTGGGATAGTAGGTCACTGCCCTGAAGCGCCGCCCTGGGCCCCACGCTGGCTTCCGCCCCATGCTACCCGGCTTGGGCACAGGTCTGAGGGAGAGGCACTTGCCCACTGTCTTTTTACGTCTCAACCTTTAGGGCAGATTTTTAGCTACTTTAAAAAGGAGGTTGAAGGCACCTTTTTTCAGGGCCACAAACTTTGACGATAGAACCACCACTGGTTTTAACGGTGATAACTTGGTACTGATAAAATTAGCCTGTTATCGCTCAACCACTTACAATCTTTAAGAGGGAAAAAAAATCTCCCAACACATCTCTCTGCACCAAGGGAGATGTGCCAGTCCCCTGCTGTATCTCACATCACCACTGCACCTCGACAGGGGACCACCACCCCACCCCACCCCCCCACCCCGCCCCGCCCCTCTGCTTACAAAACCCATGAAGGGTTCCCCACAGACAGCAGTGGAGAAGCTATGTGCAAGCACTCCCAAGCCGCCCTTCAAGTCCTGGCGTCACCCCAGCCTCCTTCATTTGGGCAGACTACAGATCCCTCCCAGGACTTGCCCGCCACAGAACAGAGCTCTGATTGCAGGCTGAACATACTCTGCCAAGTGGGAACCAGGCTCCGAGTCCGGAATCTTGTCCTCTCTCGAGCGGTGGTGCCTGCTGCTGGCCCGAGCACTCACTGGCTCGGCTGAGGAGTCTGCGGACAGGGGCAGGCAGCAGGACGGCATGGCAGCCTCAGCTGGAGAGAGGTTGGGCATCCACTCAATGTGGTCAGCACCTCAGCACATGGCCGTGGATCTGGCCGGCAAGTGGACACAGCACTGCTGGGCCCTGGCTCAGGGACATGCAAGGGTACCCACCACCCGTCCGCCTCTGCGCCCCACAGCAGGGACCCTGCCAGGGAGACAACGACTCACAGCTAACACGCGCCAGTGTTCTCCAGTTCTGCCGCTCGCTTTCAGTTTCCAGAACAGGTGTGGGTGGTTGAAGTGGGGAAAGGGTTAGAAATCACTTCAGCACATGCATTTCAGGTTCTGCCAGACAACCTTTTATTACATCAAAAAAGCAACACTAGGCACTAGAACTTGCAAAGTATGTCCTGACCAACTCTAAAACTCTCTGCAGTGAAAAATGCCCATCCCCACCTGTAGGGTTTTTAATGAACAAAAAGTTCAGTACAAACTTTAATCTGCAAAACAGATGGCTGTGTGAGTGGCAGCCTCCGAGCCGACTATTACATTTTCTTCCACAGACTGCAGGGGGCTTGGGTAGGGTGGGAGGAATGTTCATCCCGAGGAGTAGAAAAGTTCATTTTGGCTTTCACAGAAAAGAAATTTGGAGGAAAAGTGCTCTATATTGAATAATATCTTTCAAAATAAACAGCTCAGGCCAGCCCTTCCAATTCTGAGGTGGATGCCTAACCAGATCTGGAGTGAAAATGAAGATGTGGGGTTTATATTAACTTCCAATCCAGTTTGGGGAGCAAGCCGAGTCCCCTCGTTTCCAGGAAGGGCAGTCTCATTAGGGCGACCGAGATGCTCAGAAAGTCACGTTTCTGCCAACTCGGGAAGTGGCGGGTGTCTTCTGAGGGCCCCGCCAGGCAGCCTCATCAGGCCTCAAAACAAACAAACAAACAAACAAACAAACAAAGTAAAAGCTCTCCGGTCGAGCGTCAGGGTCGGCAGTGGCTGCTCCCACGGTAGACATTGTTGATGACCTTCTTCCCTACACGGCAGTCTTCTCAGGAGCTTCAGCGGGAGTGTCAGCCTGATTAACTTTCAGAAATAAATAGTTCAAACAAGTAATTTAGGGCCTACTGTAAAAGAGCAGGGGAAATGGCCACTGCTCTTCGTGTTTGCCACTAAGGGAGGATATGAATATGCATGAACACACACAGGAAAAAGAAAAAAAAAAAGGAAAAAAATTCACAGACTAAATCTTATATTTCCCACATTCATAGGGGAAAAAAACTTTCCCCCACCAAAAATTATTAATTAGCGTTTGTTCTTATGTGGGTTGGATAGTTCAGGGCTCTGACCTGGCGCAGCCCCTGCCAACAGAGTTGGTTGTAAGGAGCTGTCCGCACTCCACGCCAGGACTGGGTGCCACCAGAGGCCTGAACTGCCGTCTGCCAGCTCAGTACCTGGAAGAGAAGAGGCGCTGCGGGCAGGGCCTCTCTAACCCACAATGCATGAGGTATATGGAACCGTCAGGAAGGGACCGCCAGCAGCTAGAGGGACAGGCAGGGCGCTCTCACAGCAACTGCTGATGAAGGATCTCCCACACCATCTTCTTCCGGAAGAGAGGCATCTGGTGCTGCAAAGAGTCCCACAAACAACAGGCATCACATGGGCACAGGCATGGGCACAGCATCCCATGTGGCTTTTCTGGTCATATCCTTTCTGAAAGCCTCTACTTTTAATTTTAATTATTCATTAAAATATTTTTATTGTGTGTTGGCTGAAAAGTTGACACAGCAAATTAGGGCTCCATCTGATAAATCCCCGTCACATGGTATGTCACTGACACTGGTAACATTTGGCTCATTATCCCTCTGGTTGTTCCGTTTCTGCTCGTCTAGTTTCCCTGCCCTCAAACCTTGATTTCTGTCACATCTTGGTACACACTTAGTAAGCCAGGAAAAAAGGCTCATAGGATGTTTAATTATATGTCAAAAGTATGTTTATATATTAAGAAAAATAAATGCAGAATTAACAATAAATAGCACAATGGTGATTTCATAATATGAATGTACTGTATATACTTGAATATAAGCCGACCCAAATATCAGCCGAGGCACCTAATTTTACCACAAAAATGGCATTAAAAATGTGCTGTAAAAAAACTCGGCTTATACACGAGTATACACGGTATACCCAAAACGGAAACATCCAAGTGGTGGGACAATAGGCAACTTTTATATTTACACATATAGAAAAGTTTTTATATATACATAGAATACACATATATTTTCTATATATATATAGAATACGTTTTCTATATATACATATACAAATCTTATGTACATAAGTATAAACGTGTGCATATTTAAAACATAAGATGAATACATTCTTTTCTGAGAAAAACATAAAATTACTTTAAATAAAGAAAAAATACAAGCAAAACTATAAATCATTATTCTACTTTAATTGCTACTCACTACGTGTCGATTTTCAAAGCAGCAGCATGTAACAATTCCAAAATTACCTATAACTTCACTCATCCTTTTTTGATGGGTCCGAAATCTCACACCCTGTGGTGTTCTGCGTGTCCTTATCGTGATATCCCTTGACCATAAGCTAGGGACTGCTTACCCAGGGGGAGTCTAAAAAGTCTCAACACTGGGGTTGTTAAAGTGATATTAAAGAGCTCAAAACAACTAGTAAAAAAAATTGGCATATTTATTTGTAGTAAAACTGCTTAGATGAATAACTGGTAGCAAACGTCTTTAATTTAGACCAGAATTGTATAAATTCATGTTGCTCAAAAGCTAGGAATGGCATGACTCGTCATACTACTCAAAACTGTGTTTGATAGACAACATCCACCATATTCAGGTCTGCTAAAGGAAAAGGTGTTTTAAAAGGAATTGCCCTTGGATGTAGAAAGGAGAGCCAGAGAACCAAAATTAACCAGAACAGTAAGAAAAAGCAGCATCCACAGATCTTAGATCTGCAGCTAAATTCGCAGTCGCCTGATTTCTTTCCTTGCTGCTCCCTTCTTTGGCTAAAAACATCAGTGGCACAAAGAATGCATGGACACAGCAGTTCAAAGGTGTGGCCTGTGCTGGTGGCCACCAGGGGCTGGGAGCATCTGTGTCCTCACAGGAGTGGGGCTCTGGCTACAGTGCTGCCGGAAGCCCCGCTCACGCGGGTGTGGACAGAATAATGCGTGTCGGGCACAGGCAAAGTAGTCTCGGCTCGGCTACCGCGGTAAAGATTCCGTGGGTTAGGTGGGGTCTTCACTCACCTGAGTAAATGTGATAGGTTTGTCTCTAGAGAGATAATCTGCATATTTACAAGTAAACATTCCACAATCACTCCCATTCAACTGTTGAGGAATCTCCTAAGATTACAACACAAAGAACAGAGGATGGGATAAAACATCATCAAATACAAATGCCTCTGACTTCTAAATATCGCTTTGAATGAACACTACTACAAAGGGAAATATTGAATTTGGGATGGCACACAATTTGTCACACAATTAGTCCTACCTGAGGAATGACTCAATGTTGCCCAAAGTGGGCAATACTGCCCTTTGGGGGGTGATAGAACCACCAGGGGGGCTGCAAAAGCAGATGCCTACACTTTATACAGGATTATGAGCTATCGAATAAAAGTTTTTTCATTGCCAAGGAGGTACTGAGTAAATGTTTTTCTGAAAAGGGGGCCTTATTTTGTCATATCTTGCCCTGTCCGATGTCTCCCTTCCCCCACTTTTCTGTTATCAGTCCCCCAGGGAGGAGGTCACATGTAGATCCTTGTAATCGGTTCCCCCTTTCTATCCCACCCTCCCTCCACCCTCCCAGCATCGCCACTCACACCACTGGTCCTGAAGGGATCATCCGCCCTAACTGTAACATAGTTAACTACCAGAATGGAAATATTAGAACTTTTTCACACACCTTTATACATTTGTTAAGGGGCTAAGTGTGGCTCAGTGAGAAACATTCAATACTTCAAATACAACCAACAGACTTCAATACAGCGGAGCTTCCTGTCTCTTCGAAATACAAAGGGCTCTTTTTGGCTCCCCACAGCCTAAAGCAGGAGAAAGAAAGAAGCCCCTGACAAGCTTTAATCCATTCAGATCTTGCCTGGATCGCTCAGATCTGTCCTAAAGCTACAACAGAGCGAGCTGCAAGTATGTAGCACTAAGAGTATAATAAGTCACTGGCGGCAGCTTCCACTCTCTTGTGAGGTAAGCTCACATGCCCCCAGCTCTGCGCTGTGTTTAGCTAAAGCAACACACTCTGCTGTCAGTCATAAGGAACACAAGCTAACAGGCGTATGGGAGAGGCTAGAAATCATACAAGATGAAAGCAGCTCAAGTTTTATGAAAACAACAAGACAGGTAAGTACTGAGAAATAGCACACACATGCCACCACTCACACTGCTCCATCAGAAACACAGCAGAGCCCAGCTCCTCTCACAGAGTGGACAGGACCAGAGACTCCGACACAGAGCAAGAGAATTTGCCCTTCACGTCCCTTCCCCACCCCTCCCCCAAGATCTGCAGGATCAAGGGTGAGGGCGGGATGAGTGGAGGGGCATTTCCTCCATCAGAACCCAGCGTCCATCCCAACAGTCTCCTTACAACTGTGCTCGCCTCAGCAAACTGCAACGCTTCTAATTCTGCAACTTAAAAACAAAAATGTTCTACAGGTCAGGGCTCAATCCGAACACATGCAGCTGACTTTAAAGGGACCTGTTGGAATCCAAATTGGCTGCGTTTTCAAACCCTGAAATCCAAATAGGGCAAAATGCAGATTACATCAAAATACATCCAATAGCACTTAGGATCCAAATAAATAAAATTCCCAGCTACAAATTTTAGGAAAGAGCTTGAGACTTGAATAGCATGATCAAAGAAGGGAACTGGCCAGGGTTACCAGGCTTTGGGGTTTTCTCCCCTTCTTTAATTCTGTGAGATAGGTGCTTGCAGACTGTTAACATTCAGAGTAGGAGCCAAAAGATACAGGCTAGGAAACTGCCACAGCTGCCACCCGTGCCTGCTGTTGGTCAATGCTGACTCAGCCCCACACGCGGGCAGATAGGACTGCTCCATAGGGTTTCAAGGCAGTCAGTCTTTTAGAGAGCAGACAGCCACATCTTTCTCCTTCAGAGTGACTGATGGGTTTGACCACTGACCTTCCTAGCAGTCCCACAGTTACCCTACTGTGCCATCTTAGATTAATCGCTAACGACTCAGAAGTTGTTCTTAAACTGTGGATGCCCTGAAGGTAAACAGCGGCCATCTAGCTCAGAAGCAACACAGCCCATATGGAAGAAGCACACCAGCCTGTGTGACCACGAGGTGCCGAAGGGATCAGTTATCAGGCATCAAAGAACAAAAAATTCTATCATTGTGTGCTCACCTCCCTGATACGATCGCTGAAGACAAATGGGTGCATAAGCAAATGAGGCGAGAAAGCTGATGGTGCCCAGGTATCAAAAGACATAGCATCTGGGGTCTTAAAGGCTTGAAGGTAAACAAGCGGCCATCTAGCTCAGAAGCAACAAAGCCCACATGGAAGAAGCACACCACCCTGTGCGATCACGAGGTGTCGAAGGTATCAGGTATCAGGCATCATCAGAACAAAAAATCATATCATAGTGAATGATGTGGGGAGTGCGGAGTGGAGACCCAAAGCCCATTTGTAGACCACTGGACAACCCCTTACGGAAGGGTCTCAGGGAGGAGGGGAGCCAGTCAGGATGCGATGTAGCAATGATGAAACATACAACTTTCCCCTAGTTCCTAAATGCTTCTTCCTCCCCCACTATCATGATCCCAATTCTACCTTACAAATATGGCTAGACCAGAGGATATACACTGGTACAGATAGGAACTGGAAACGCAAGGAATCCAGGGCAGATGATCCCTTCAGGACCAGTAGTGTGAGTAGCGATACTGGGAAGGTGGAGGGAGGGTAGGTTGGAAAGGGGGAACCGATTACAAGGATCTACATGTGACCTCTTCCCTTGGGGACGGATAACAGAAAAGTGGGTGAAGGGAGACGTTGGAAAGGGCAAAACATGACAAAATAATAATTTATAAATTATCAAGGGTTCACAGAGGAAGGAGGGAGCGCGGAGGGAGGGGAAAATGAGGAGCTGATGCCAGGGGCTTAGGTGGAGAGCAAATGTTTTGAGAATGATGAAGGTAACGAATATACAAATGTGCTTTACACAACTGATGTATGTATGTATGGATTGCGATAAAAGTTGTATGAGCCCCTAATAAAACGATAAAATTTAAAAAAGAGAAGTTGATACCAAGGGCTCAAGTAGAGAGAAAATGTTTTGAAAATAATGTTGGTAATAAATGTACAAATGTGCTTGACAAAAATGGATGGATGTATGGATTGTGATAAGAGTTATACGAGCTCCCAATAAAATGATTTTTTAAAAAACGTGGATGCCCATCCGAGGGGTGAGAAGAGGGGAAGAAGGAAATCCAGTTGGACAATGTGGAACGCAGGAAATGCATCAAAGCATTTCAATGTAGACAGAGGATCTGCACTTACGTGTGGCTTCAGGGTGTACTGGGTCCATTCTAAAAGGTTCAGATCGATGTTTCTTTTGGTCTTGCTTTCATCCTGTAAATACTGACTGGAAAAAACAACAGGGAGAAAACTCGTGAGTCACCCTCGAGACAAGTCTCTCTTCCCTTGACCACCAGGCCTTCATGAGGTTTCACACACAGGCCTTTCCCAAACTCAGCCACCGTCAGTTTTGCTTCAATGTGATGGCTGTTTTTGTTTTTCATATTTAATTTAGGTTTATTTCTGTTGTAAAAATGGTACGTGCTTGTTTTTCAACATTAAAACATGTTGACCCGAGTTATTTTACTGAAATATAAAAATACTTAGGCAGTTAGCCGAGAGTATTTCATTTAATGCAGTCTCTACAGGCTTCTTATAACTCACTACACTGCACAAAGAAAAATACATTGGATCCAGATGTCACTTGAAAGGCCAGGTAACTCTGAGAGCCTTCACTTATTTACCTATTAGTGATGAAAAGGGAGACCCTGCTATCTAGTCAGTCAACAGACACATCCTGACACTGGCCTAAGACTTAGCCAACCATTCAGTTCTGTTTGCTTGCTCATGGTCAACAGCTGCTCCCCACAGTGACCCTGAAACCTGAGTTAAAGTAAAACATTAAGACGTGGCTCCCCAAAGTGTAAATTTCAAAGTCAGAAGTACAGTATATATTATCTATGATTCTACAAAGATTGCTTATATTGCTGTCAGTCTCTTCCATGATATACCTTGTAGTAAGCTTCTCTTTCTTCCTCTAACCTGGCGTGAGTAAATTGGTGGTGCCACTTCGGGGTAAAGACCTGACAAAATCAAATCATGTTAAAAAAAGCAAAACCAAAAACAAAGTCAAGGCGCATGGAGTCAGTGCTGACTCAGAGCGACCCTATAGGGCAGGGTAGAACTGCCCCTGTGAGTTTCCAAGACTGTACCTCTTTATGGGAGCAGAAAGCCCCATCGTTCTCCCCAGGGGTGGCTAGTGGTGCTGACCTTGCCCCTAAAATAACTAGTGCAAAAGTAGTTACTATGAATGGTCTGCTGTGTAGTACTCTTACTTCCATGCACACAAGTACTTGTTTTATTTAACGAAGTGAACTCATTCTTTTTTGTTATTATTTATCATTTGTTTTTTAACTCATTCTTCATGTTTCTGTTTGCAACTTACTTTTACTCACCTAAAAATAGGTTTTAAAAAAGACAATTGGTCTGGACATGGAAAAGCAAAACAGAAAAGAAAAGCCATTGCTACGAAAAGCAAAGTACATGTAGAAGCAGAAAGACTTACAGATGAAAGGAGACCAAAGAAACACCAACTCAATAAAATGTGTGAGCTTTGATTTGTTTAACATAATTTACTCTGAGAACAGGGAGTGGAGACCCAAAAGGCCGCTGGGGAACAGTGAGAGAACTGGAACAGGAGCGGTAGTTGGCTCTTGGGCACTCTCCAGACTTCTCTGTTGGGGCATTTCTGGTGGGATACGAACCACTCACTGTTTGGTTAGTAGCCACCAGCTTACTCGTTTGCCCCACGCAGGCAGGACTCCTACATGCTATTATTGATTGTTAATTTTCTAAAGTGTGATAATGGCATTACAGGTATATAGTACAATTTCCTTATTTTTTGGAAATGGGTACTGAGGTATTACGACGAATTTATTCTAACCAAACCTCCAGATGATCAATTTTAACAATCCAGGTATGTCAGCTCTCACGTTAACATACACATGAAGCAAGGCTGGGGTAAACTATGACATGTATTATATGTGAGGGCAGTATTGCCAGAAAGTGGGTGAGAAAGGGCTCCTGGCAGGTAAAAATTTGGAATGCCATGGCTGGTGGCCCTCCATAGCTCAGTCCTACCACACAACAATCTCAAAATTCCTTTGGATTTAATTTTAGGGAGGAACTATGTTTTTCTACTTGGGACAGAGCCTGGCTGGGAACATCAAGAAAGAGAGGGGCCTCAGCTACCCACAGGAGTTACCCTTTCATATTAACAAACAACTATGAATGCAATAAAAGTCAGTCCTTTTTTGGTATCCAATTATAAGCAGCAATGAAAACGACACTGTGATTCCAATGAGAACATTTTGATGTGTGTGAAAATGTGTACGTGTGTGCACATATAAATTAAGTGTATACATTTTACACATAACTCTTACATAGAAAAGACTAGAAGGAAATTACTACTTTGTGAAAAAAATGGGTGTACTTTAAATTTGAAAAACAATTATTCTTTTTTTCAAATATGAGAAATAAGTTACCTTCTCCACAAGGTCAGTATAGCAAAAAAGGAGAAGTGAGCTGAGCTCACTACTGTAATAACAACTGCTGGTCGTACAGCTCACTGAGCACATTCCTGTGTCTCCAGTGAGGTCAAAAGCAGGAGCGGCTTTTGCTTCCAGTGAGCACCACCATCAAACATGGCGCGTCTTCCTGACATGCTGCCTTGCTACAGCAGCTACGTCGGCAGGGACACAAAGGCACGTTTCCAGCAATTACTATCAAACAAGCTGCCCCCAAACTGTACAGCGTCATTCAGACATGACACCCGGATTCTGTGTGATAAGCCTCGCTGTCACGGAAAGGAAGGTGAGTGGGTATGAGAACTGAAAGGGCTGACCATCCCTAGCTAATGGTTCCTGAGAACATGATGACTCATCTGTCAATCCCACCAGAACCAAGCTCAGAAACAAGGTTCTGATGGGAACACTGTGCATGAGAACAAACGGCAAACTCGGTTTCTAAGACGTCACCAAACAGGTACTGGCTATATTTAACCAGAAAGCTGGGCTGAAGACCTGAGTAACCTGGAAGAGAGCTATAACATGAAGAAGGGGCTTCAAAAAGTTCTTGGGAAAAAGTGGAATTTAAAAAAAAGGAATTTTCCTAATTTTGTTTAACTTCTTATTGAGAACAGTGTGAAGGTTTACTAGTTTGACTCCCACCCAGGATTGATGATCCTACAGAGACAGCATGTGGAATAAGGGTCTTGGGGGTGCGTGGATGGGTGGGGAGTACAGTGGCGGTGGTAAAAGGGAAATAATGTCAAGGGGGTCCAGGAAGTAAAAGAATGTTTGAAAACGGACTGTGGTAGCAACTGTACAATTCTGCTTGATGTGACTTAACTATGGAATGATATATGTATTAACATCCAATTAATAATAATTTTTTTAAAAAAAGAACTGAAAATCCAGGGAATCCAGGGCGGATGAGCCCTACAGGACCATTGGTGTGAGTGGTGAAACAGGGAGGGTAAAGGGAGAGTGGGTAGGAAAGAGGGAACCGATTACAAGGAACTATATGTGACCTCCTCCCTGGGGGACAGACAACCAAAAAGTGGGTAAAGGGAGACGTTGGACAGGGCAAGATATGACAAAATACCAATTTATAAACTATCAAGGGCTCATGAGGGAGGGGGGAGCGGGGAGGGAAGGGAAAAATGAGGACCTGATGTCGGGGGTTTAAGTGGACAGAAAATGTTTTGAGAATGATGTACAAATGCGCTTTACACAATTGATGTGTATGGATTGCGATAACAGTTGTATGAGCCCCTAATAAAATGTTTTTTAAAAAATCCAAAAAAAAAAGAAAGAAGGTTACAAAGTAAAAAAAAAAAAGCTTCACTCCCACAAACTTTTAAGGCCTTCAGCAAACAGACAGCCATCCCCTTGAGCTGCCCAGCACCAGAGAGATGAAGCATCATCTACTGCGGGCACAAGGAGGCGGCATTTACTTACAGGAGAAGCTCACAGATCCGGTGGCCCTTTTGCCCCATAGAATCCAGGTATTTGAGACACTTTTTTCTCAAGTCTATCACCTATAACGGAAGAGTACAACGTTAAGAAACTCCTGAACTATAGCAGGAATAAAATGTTCATTTCTGTAAAGAAAAACACCATAAAAAATCAAGATATGTATCATCATGAGTTGATTTGGAAGGCAGTCTTTAGCTGGGACTTTCGTTTTCAGGCCTCTGTTTTGCAACAATAAACCTGCATCTTCCTGTAAGGGAAGAGAAAGGGTCACGTGCATGTGTACTAACACACAGAATGAAAGCTCTCACGTAAAGGGACTGTGGCTTCTAATGTCCTAAGTTATCCCACTAGGAATGCAGGGCCTCTACCTTAGAGCTCAGCTTCTCACTGACACAAAAGTGTACCCTTCATTATTTAAGAAAACAATTTTCAGCCGAATTCCAACAATTAACATTCTCGACTCACCACAAGACTCCAATGTACCTTCCGATGAATAGGCACCAAAACAAGCTCTTGTTCAAAGAGATTGACCCCTTTGGTCCACCGTTTCACGGCTTGGTAACCCCCAGACCTTAATTTAGGATAGAAGAAAGTACTAAATGCATGAAGTGCTGGATAGCCTTGCTTTTTGTTTCGTTCCACCAGAAGATTCATGTAAAAATTAATGACCTGTAAAATATCCAAGAGAATAAAAGTCAGAAATTGGCAAGTCATTTACTGAAAAGTTGTCGGCACAATTGTCCTGGGCTTTCTCACTGATGCAATTTTCAATTTTCTTAAATCTTCTGCCTAGTGAGGCCCCATGATCATCCTCAAGAAAATCTATCAAGATGACCACTTGGGGAGCCCAAAAAACCACTGCCATAATCTCAAGCTGACCTCTCAACCTTGAATTAAACTAGGATGGCAGAGCCTCTTGGAAGGCACTGCTTTGATTGGCCCTTTTTGGGGAGAAAGCATCCTAAGGAGGCCAAGACAAGGCCAGTACTGGGAGAACTTTGTCCCAGCTACCCAAAGATGACAAAGACACACTTTCTTTGGAATAAGCCTGAAGGGACTGCACCCCACAGCAACACTTTCTGATTTACACTCCTAACCGTCCCTGCGGCTAGGCTGGATTAGAACAGTGCTTCTCAGCCTTCCCAGTGCCATGATCCTTTCACACAGTTCCTCATGTGATGGTGACCCCCAACCATAACATTATTTTCATTGCTACTTCATCACTGTCATTTTGCTGCTGTTATAAATCAGGCGACCCCTCTGAAAGGGTCATTTGACCCCCCCCAAAGGGGTCGTGACCCACAGGTTGAGAACCACTGGATTAGAAGGCGGCAAGGTTAGGGGAGGGATAAAAGGCCTGTGTACGGAAGGTGGGGAAAGGGCACACTCGATGAAAACTGGGAACTATTAAGAAGTGGAATGACGTTTTGGAGGTTGAAAAGTCAGGAGAAGGCCCAAAGGGAAAGGCTGTGAGCACCGAGAGGTGCGTGAGACTGCCAGCACACAGGGACCTGGGCGGGAATGCACTACACATACATTACACCTCCGCTTTTAAAGACACAGTGGAGAAATACACCCAAACATTCCTATTCGGTTACTTGTGAGTGGTGGTACTTTATGATATATTTAAATAATATGTATGATGAGGTACAGAAGAGGCAATAATCAAAATGAACCCTCTTTTTTTAGGTTTCATATGTCTGTCTTAAAAAAAGAAAAAAATGGCTTTATCAACCCCTGATAAAAAGACAGAATATAGCCAACAGTTAAACATCATGAGAGTTACTTCATCGTTGAGCCAGTGGTAGTTCTTCAGGGTCTGGATGTCCGCGCGAGTAATCCGCAGTTTGAACGCACTGCTGAGGACCTCGTCCTGGGAGCCATGGCCGACTGCAGTGCTGACTTCCTTTTCCATGTCCTGAAGTGCAAAGGCCAGAGGGTGTTCATCGCACACAGAACAGCTCACAGAAAACGTGTTTTGTCTCTGTAACACCCAACCCTTGAGAAAAATATACTGTCAAAGATGTACTAAATTGAAGTATAGAACGAGTTGAACAGCGTTTAATAGGCAGTCTTATCGCTGGTCATAAAAAAGCACAGGTTCCATTGTTAGTGTCTTGAGATGACAATTAGCCTATGACAGTTCTGTTTCAAGCACAGTCCTAACTCTCCGATGTGCAGACACAGTGCTCGGTGCTTTGAGCACATCAGGAAGCTTGCCTTGTGGGGACTCATTGCTCGTTTGCGAAAGCATAAACAGAAGCTCAGGGAATTCAGGTTCTATGGTCACGGTCACAGAATTATTAAAAGGCAAAGTTCAAGATTTGAACCCAGTAGTGTCTGACTTCCAAGCCTTTGCTCTAAAATCCTTTATTTACCTCCTAAACATGACCTTTATGAAAAACATCAAAACAACAAAATTGGATCACACTGTCGATTTCTGATGCAAAGAAATAAGCAAATGGGCAGAAACTGGGGACACCAGGTAGTCGTCTACCAGCAACTGCATGGCTTCATATCCCAGAGAACTAATGCGGATCAGTGTGCAGTTAAGCTGCAGAAATCAATCTATACATCCAGTAGAAATTACTTCCCCCGAAATAACTCTCTGACGACTGCGTCCCTCACTGCAGTGTTGCTGGTTCACGGAGCCTTCTTTCCACCCGCATGCTCAACAGAGAGCAAGTGCTTAAGCGATGCCCACCGATTGGCATGCCACCACCTACACTAAGGCAGCCAGGAGCCCAGATATGGGTGACAAATTTGCAATGCATATTTTTAAAGGTCATTTCTTTGTGCTCAGTAAATTTTTACTGTCTTCAAAAGCAATAATTGGCCAAGGGGATGTTCTAATAAACCACAACCATACAGAACAGTTGCAATAAACCCCATCCTAATGCCGAACCCATCTATATACCTCGGCCTATGTGAAGGTCAGAAAAGACATCTAAAACCCATCATACCCCAGGCTCCACGGCAGTCATGCCTGCTCACACTCACTGAACAGGCCTCCTTCATACGGATGGTTCGCTCATGATCAGCCAGGCCAAAGCGCCTCAGCGGGCCTCAAACCTCATTTTTTTGCATACATTCACCTTTAGTTACTTCATCCTGGAGAAAGCTCTCAAAATAAAACATTCTTTCAAGTCTACAAGCACGGAGGTGATTTTCGAACAGATCTCCTACTCTGGTCAGCACAAGAACAGTCAATACCTCTGTCAGTTCAAGAAGATCGTCAGTCCTTCTCTCTCTCTCTTTGCCCGAGTAATTCTTTTCTTTTGTCTCAATTACTGACATTTTCCTCCTGAATAAGCCATTGCTTCCACTGCCCAGGCGGAGGCGGGCTGACACTTCTTCGGACAGGTCAGGCTCCAACGGATGTCCCCTCCTCTGAACAAGAGAGTTTCCATATTCTATCAGCATGTTTGATGCTGATGTATAGAGACATAACTTTCACAGGTAATCTACAACAGTCAGGATCTTGAAGGAGAATGTGCAAATCCCCAAATGAGTGAATGGAAAGGAGCTCAAGATACAAAGCTCAGGGACACACCACCACAATCCCGGGGAAAAGCAGTCACATGCTGCTGGAGGCAGCAAGATGTGGACTGGCGGTTCTCACAGCTCCACCCAGCGCCACTGAAAGGGCACTTGGAGACCATGTAATACACAAACAATGGGACCCACAATCCCATCCCTCAGAATAAACCACTGCTAGTGGTTCTATTTCATTATACAAAACAAAATATTAAGAGAAATGCATAAAACATTTAATAAACCACTTAACCAGCTTCTGTAAAGTGAACTTCTGTGTAGTACAGCCAAAATTCAGGTCAACATATAGAATTCTGTCCACAATCCAGAAACCCTGACATGATCTTTTCCTAAATAATCCCTAATAATGAAGGCTAAGTATGCAAATTATTTTAGAGTTTTGCACTAGTTTCAACTAATGCAAGCAGACTGCCTAATACAGTGGTCCTAGGAAGCCAGCAGCTGCGGGTCCAGGCCCTGGTCTCACACAAGGTCAGAGCCTCCACAGCCAGGTCCAACTACCTCCACTCTCCCCACTGTTGTCCCACAGGCGATCTATAGGCCGAGGGACCGGCTAGGGGATCATCCTGAAGGGAAAGCCTTGACGTAGCCCCATGGCTAATTCTTATGAAGAGGTCAAGTGGGAGAAGACAAATTTGACTACAATGAAACTCAACACCAAGAAGTCCCTGAACCTTTGTGTTTCTTTCAGAAAAGATATAGCTCTGTCTCCTGGGGTGTGGTGTGGGCACGCTATTATTAAAAACATTGGCATTGCTATGAAGAGCACTGGGACATTCTTCTCCAAATACTTTTACAGACAATGGGAAACTGAATGAAACACAAGACTGCTGATGCTTTCAAGTAAAACCGAAACCTTGATTCTGAGTCCTGAACAACTTATCAATCTTCCCTTACTGAGAGAGCTACAGGTTAGCAAACACTCTCTGAGTGAAGGCATTCAGAGATATTCAGAGATACGGGCTGTGATGGAAGTATCTTGATCCCTCTGATTAATTATAAACCACGTCACTCTTGCCAGAAGGTGAAAATCAACAGAAAGCTTTCTATCTTCAATGCTGGATGCTTTTCAAAGAAAGCAATAGAATTAGAAATACAACTCAGATATGTCATCTTTCTTATTTTTCATGGTGAGCAAAATGTTAACACCAAGCAGATGAAGAGTAAAAAGGAGCACATTGAAATACTTACACCTTCACTGTCAACTCTGACTCCAACTGTCTTCTCAGAATCCAACAGTTTCCCCCATGAACATCTGAGGGAAAATATTGAGACATACTGTAAACTTCCGCAGGATAATTTTAGCTGTACATGTTGGACTAGTTTTATAAATTAGGTGTCATACAGTTAAACAAAAATTGCCTTTAGTTTATATAATCCTTTCATCCAGGGAAATCTTTTTCTAAAAAGGACCAGATATCAAATATCTTAGGCCTGTGGGCCCTATAGTGTCTGTAGTTTTCTCAATTCTGCCACTGTAACATGAGGTAGTCAAAGATATTATGTAAATAAAAAAGCTTGGCTATGTCCCCAAAAGGCTTTACACATTTAGAACAAGCAGGTGGGCAAGATGAGACTCGTACGCTCTAGTTTAACAACCCTTGCTCTAAATTACCGTCACCAACCCCAAAGCATGCAGAACTCTCCTAACTATCCCTGTTTTGGGATGGTAATCACTAGAGTTGTCCACCTCACCCACACTCCTATCTAGGAGGCACCTGCTTCCCCCAACCCTTGACCTGACGGCCAGGAAGAAAGTCAGAACTTCTAGGGCCTGAGTTGGTTCATTATGCAGTGCTACTTATGTATGCAGACACCTGAACAGCCACCAGATCTGAAGCAAATTCACAATTCCTCAGAAACGTTGTTGTTAGGCGCCTCTATTGTATCAATGAAGCAGTAGTGGTAGTTTTGTCAATGAGGCAGGATACTGGCTAAAGGATTAGGTTGTCTTGCGTCATTCTTCGAGATATGAGATTAAACAAGCGAGTAGCTCACACTGCCTTACCACCGTAAAGGCAGAAGAGCCAGGAGTTCACTGTGTCCTTTGGATCCAGGGTTCCTGTGCTGGGAAGGTCCTTGGTCTGGGGGGATGGCTGCCTAGAGCTGGTTGTTAGGTGTCTTCAGGTTGGCCATTTACAACAGAATGAAATACCACTGGTCCTGTGCCATTCTCACATTGTTCTGTGTTTGAGCCCATTCTTGCTGCCATTGTGCCAATCCATCTTATAAATGGCCTTCCTCTTTATTCACTGCCCCTCTACTTTACCAAGCATGGATGTCTGAGTTAGTTAATTGTGCCAGCCTGGCCGATAATCACATGTGGGGCTGGTTGAAAGGCGGAGGGAGAAATGGGTGGTGAAGCCTCGCCTTTCTAGTTCTCGGGTCTCTTGTTTTGTGATGGTTGCATCGGGTGCAGCTGCCTTAGCAGTTCCCTGCTTCAGCTTGCAAGATGGACTTCCTACAAGACATCCCCAAGGAGAAGCCGCATGGATCTATCCCGATGCAGCCCTGGGTGCTGGAGCAGCCATGTGGAGACCCTTGCCAGTGCTGAGATGCTTACACGTTCACTGACTCAACTTTCCTCCTGCAGTCGGCATCATTGCCTCTGTTCTGTGAGGTGAAGGACTTTGTGGACTGGTGTTGGGTATGGGTTGTTGGACTTGTGGGCTTGGGCAGCATTGGGTTGGGATGTTTTCGTGATGCACATTTTCTTTGTATAAAACTCTCTCTTATACATGAGTTGCTGTGGATTTGTTTCTCCAAAGTACCTAGACTAATACAATGTCCTTCTCCAGGGACTGGTCTCTCCTGACAACATATCCAAAGTACATGAGACTAAGTCTTGACATCCTTGCTTCTAAGGAGATTTTGGCTATAATTCTCCAAGACAGATCTCCACCAGCAAGTGCTTCACGTGCTCCTCACGGTCAGCAAGCAAGGGTGTGCCGTCTGCATACTGCAGGTTGTTAGTAAGCCTTCTTGTAACCCTGATGTTGCGTTCTTCTTCATATAACCCAGTTTCTCTGATATGTGCTCAGCATACAGACTGAATAAGTGTGGTGAGAGGATACAACCCTGGCATACCTACCTTTCCTGATTTTAAACCATGTGTATTCCCTTGTTCTTTAAAAAAAAAAAATGTATTCCCTTGTTCTGTTCCCACAACTGCCTCTTGATTTTTGTACAAGTTCCACATGAGCATAATGAAGTGTCCTGGAATTCCCATTTTTCTCAAAGCTATCCGTAGTTTATGACATAGTTACTCATATACAACTTATATGTAAATGCATCTTTATTAATATGTAATAAATGAGCTCATGTGGAATATATAAACTTAGAAAAGCTGAACCATGTACCTTTTTTCACTTCGCACTGAACATAGAGGTCCCCTTGTTTCAATAACTCGATCTGTAAGGATAGTAAAGAAAATATTTCAATTTTTTTTTAAATCATAAAATTTTCTTCTACTAATAAAAAATTTTCTTCTACTAATATTTTCTTCTACTATGTGTACTTCTACACATAAGCTAGAATTCTAACATAAATCTCCAAGACATTCCTTTACATTGAAATGCTACAAATTCCAAAGACTAGCTGCTTTACAAATGAATTGCCTAAAAACCATAAATCTCGCTGCTCTTTAAAGATAACCTGTAGTGTAAATGGACATATGCCCATTTGGTAATCTGCTATTTAGCGAACATGTAATAAAGAAATATAAGAAAGTTCATATGATACAAAAAGAAAATGATTTTAGAATCATAAAATATTTGCTACTATGCAGGTGCCTAGGAACGATAATTAAGAGGCATTTCAGTGGGGGAGTAAAAAATTAGAGAGGCAGTTTACATCTCTACTTCATCTTCAAAGAGGTTCTTTCCTAAACTCATGCATAGCCTTAGACAAGCCCCAAGTTAGTGATTTGAGGTTTGACAATGTTTTGAAAAGTTGGCTAGCTATCTTTCTCTGGTACGCCTGTTTTCAATCATTCAAACACACCCTCAAAACATATCGACTCAGGTCAATATACTAAAACAAGGCTAAACCTAGGAACTCACACTGTTTGGGAACAAACTGAGTTGTTTTGACTCCATGATTCTGCTCTTCCCCCCAGCCTCTGGTCTTGAACGTGTCCATCTGACTTCTTTGAGAACTTAAGAGACATAAATAAAAAATGAGGATGATCAGTCACAATGAAAATGAAAATGATAAAATTAAAGTTTTTCATAAATATTCATGATCTCTTTTCCATACAAGGGTTACTGCTTAGTACCTCTGACAACACATCAGGGCACCATCTGGGGGAAAATAGAGAAAGTCTAACCTGAGTCCAAGGAGTCCTGCTCTCAGAGGCTAGCTGAAAGGCTCTGTCCACAACTGACCTAGAGAGCTGCGTGCGTAGAGATGACAGCCTAGAAAACTCTATGAGGCAGCTCTACTCTGTCACGTGGGGTGCTCAGTCAGAACTGACTTGACATCACCTAGCGACAACCCAACAATTCTGATTCCACTATTTCAGCAAAATACCTAACCTTCCAGATTTCTCTAGTCCTAAAACTGAAGTTCTCAATTCCCAACTCCGTTCTGTCAGAATGCACTGAAAGACGAGTGAAATCTCAGTGTGGTAAAGCTCAGGTTCGAAAGATGAAAAACTGGAGATGACATACTGACAGGGACCCGAAAGTGACATGTGAAAAAGCAGGAGCGTATAAAGCAAACGAGCTGGAACACTTGCTGGCATGACAAAAGCAGCATTTCACACACACACTGCTATTTCCAACAGCGCTGGTCACAATGGAGAAAGTATTATCACTCTGACTGGCGGCACCGAGAAACAAGGAGCCCTGGTGGCACCGTGGCTACCCACTAAGGGTTGATTTACTGCTTTGGAAGGGCACAGGGCTTGTTTGACTATGCCCCATGGGCTCACTATGTGTCAGAATCTTACGTTTTATAGAAAGTTTCAAAATGTCATCTAGTTCCATCACCACAGAGATGAATCCTGGGAGTCCTGAGAACAGTTTGAAGGCTGCCAACCGAATGGGGCAGCACAGGGGTCCAGGCTCTGGGGCCGAGGAAGAACAATAGAGACCCAATACTCACTAGTTCAAGTGAGCGGAGTTACAACTCAGAAAATTCAGGACACGATCTACTGTATCTATTACTTCATGTACACACCCTGAGTAAGGCTTTCGCGAACCCTGACTTAGTTTTTCAGTAATAGTTCTGAAAACAGAAAGCATTAGCATTGATGCAGGAATGTTTTCAACATGTTGGGTTGGGGTAAAGGAAAGGATATGCATGTGCTCCCCTAAACCAGTAGTGACAAAGATAAGGTTCCAGTTTTAAGGAGTGTGAATAACAAGACTGAGGCCTACTGTGGAAGAATATGCAGCTCTGATGGCATGGTGGTTATGTATTGTGGTTCAACTTCACCAGCTGGTCCAGGAAGAAAGATGAGGCTTTCTGCTACCATAAACATTTACAGCCTCGGTAGCTCACCGGGTCATAGAACCCTGTCCTATGGGGCCACTATCGGGTCCTCTAGGGTCAGAACTGACTCTATAGTATTAAGCTTTGAGTTTTATAGAGTCCATTACTAGAGACAGTGTTCAGGCAAACTCCAGGGCTATTTTTCCCTCCACAAAGCCTTTCTCACAAAACTCTCTCCCAAAACAAGTAGAAGAGATGTACAGCAAAGCAAAGACCTTAGTTCAACGTTACCTATGATGGTTTGTAGCTCCAGAAGGGACAGAGTTTCCATGCCCATTTTCTTTGAGTCTCTCTAGTAACCTCCGGTACTTCTCTCTCTCCTCGTTCTGAACACCCTAAGTGAGAGAAAGCATACTAGGTAAGGACGAGGATAGGAAACCTAGAAATTGTCGTCACTGGAGTCGAACAGTCTAAACAGAACTTACAGATATGGTTTTTTTGCCAGCTTTTAAAATGTCTTCAAATCAATGACTGTTGCCAATGGTAGTTAGTCAAAAAGAAAAAATTATTAGCTTTCTATGTTGAAAAAAAAGTTCAAAGCTGGCCTTTTGGGGACAATGGAACCAACAATCAAGAGCTAAGATGAGCTATTCTCTTTACAAAGGACATACACTCTCCACCCGCTTCCTTAGCTACTGGACCTTGATGCCTGAGTTTTTTACACCAGAACTAACATTAAAAAAAACTCAACAGAAAAAAATCTACTTGCATATTCAGAACATGAAGCTTTGTAAACGCAACTGTTCTCATTAAAGTCACCTTCTATGGCCAAATCCAGTGCCTTTAGGGTATGTGGCCTTTTGTCAGCAGCCTGCTGACCATGACCAGCTTCCTATACACGACACTCTCCGCCTCCAACTCCCCCCGCCTCCACAGTATGTTATTTTTAACAGTTTCATCTATATATAATTCCCATCTCATTCAATGGTTTGAATTTATATAAAAGAACTGCGCAGTCATCACCACAATCCATTTTAGAGCACTTCTCCCTCATCTTCAGTCTCCACTGCATGAGTTCTCCTTCTGTCTGCCCTAATGCTGATGGTTCTGCCCACAACTCCTCTCACAAAACAGCCTGCCTGGATACTCATTAGCTTTCTTGATCTAATGCCACTGATTGGCGGAGGGCTCAGAAATGTCTTGAACTCTTCCAGCTTCTCAAACCCCATTACCTTTATATACCATTGACAAAAACCCAATCCACTGCCACGGAGTGGATGCTGATTCACACCGCCCCTAGAGGACAGAGAACTGCCCTTTGGGTTTCTGAGGCTTTACGTCTTGATGGGAGCAGACAGGACCTTCATCTTTCTCTGACGGGACGACTCTTGGCTCGAACTCCTTGTGGACCTGTGGTTAGCAACTCAATGCTCAGAATATGCCACCAGGGCTCCTTTACCTGTATGTAAGCGCTGACCAAAAATATGCCTTCTTAGTGTTTCCCAGTTATTACACTTGGTCTTGGCCAGAGGCTGAGAAGTCACTTTAAACAACGCCTAAAACCTATTGTCTTCTTCCTAAGCATACAGGGTGAGTACCTTGTCATGACACACATTCATACAGGACTGAAACCTCAGACTCTTCCCTCTTTTATATCATACGTCCTGAGTATGTCCTTATGAACATAACTTACTAATCATTCTGTAATAGTCTCTTCACATGTCCCACAGATACCTGTTCAGTTCTATCTCTGACTGATTACTCATCTAAACCACGGCAACTTTACCTCCCCGAGTCCTGCCTGCCACGCAGATGTTGACAGCTGACGCAGATTCTTTCCTCATTCTGTCACACCTTCCTGTAACTCACCCCCGTCCCCGACCCAAACTCCTTGTCTTTTAGGATTCATCAGGGACAGTGTCTGCTCTACAAAAACCCTAGTTGCCTGTAGTTAACTCTGTGTCATGGTGAGCTCCTGTCTGTCCGCATGGACCTGGGCTCCAAAGGGTTTTCAACCCCTGGTTTTTCAGATGATCACCAGGCGCTTCTTCAGTGGCACCAACAGGAAGACTCAAACCTTCGACCTTTTGGTTCAGAACTGAGTACTTAAAACTGTTTGCATCACCCACTTCCTCTATAAAATGAATCATATGCCTCACTTAAAAGATCCCTTCCAAACCTTTCTTCTCTGGGCTACCCGTTTCTTGAGTTACAACTATCTGAGCTCTCCCAAAGGAGGACTAAATTGTGTTTGATTTTACATTGCTGGCAATCAGAGGGCCCCGGGAAGAGTTTCCCGATGAACTAAGTGGCTCAGGAAGCCATCTAGCAGGTCATAACAGCCGATGGCCCTGAGGCATGCCAGACGGGGTAAAGCTCAATTGGCCTGCAAGGAAGACTTCAAGAGGCAGGGAAGAGAATGCTGTGTCTTCTCCATGCTGAGCGCTCTGAAAGGAGGGGACGGCACTCCACTCACTCCCCTGACTAATTCATTGGCTCAAGAAACACGCAGAAAGAAAAGTCTATAATCTGATCTCTTCCTAACATGACTTCTTTGTATAGCTAAGAGTGTAAATAACAGTTTATTAATTGACTATACCATGCATGTAAGTATTTCCCTCGCGCAAAGAGGCATCAGTGGTTACTTCTAAAGGGGCACACCAGGTCACTGGGGGGCTAGACCTGGTCGAGAGATTTGGGGACAGTCACTGTACACTCTTGAACCTTATAAATTCTGTATGTATTTATCACAACACTATTATGATACTAAAAATACCTTTTAAAAGTAATCCGGCTAGAGGGGCTTACCTCTTCCACCGTGCAATGGGGACGCCTGGGGCCCTTGGCACCCTCTTCAGAAAGCACCTCAGTTACTGCCTGTTCCTGAGCTTCCCGCATCAGGGGACTCTCTGGGCTGCCTCTGCTATGGCGACGGCCACCTGGTCTTCTGGTACAGCCTTCTGAGTTCAAAGCAAAACTGAGAGAGGAAAAAAACACACAACAAAAATAGCATCACTAAATTGCTGGAATTTCAGCTCCCAGGCTGTTCTGTGATTAAATGGGTTAAGTTGTCTAAGGTTAGCTTGTTCCTGGCAAGTCAAACAACTACTGTTAGGTAGCTAGAGGCAGAACTAATGGTGGTCCCTCTACATGCCAAAGCCTCCCTCCCCCATTACAGGAAGTTGAAAGCTGCTCAAGGCTGGAGTACATGCACACATTCAGGACTTTGAGACAGGAAGCCTGTAAACCTGGGTGGGACTCCATCTAGGCCAGGTGGGTTTAATTCAGCCAATGGGTTCGACCAGTACCATCGACCATGCCTCCCAACGAGGGTGGGGGGGGGGGGGTTGGGAGAACTGAAAAGATAGACATTTTACTTTCTGGTTCTTTCCCAGCAGCTCTTACACACAGTGCAGCATGGCCGGGCTGAGGTCCCGTGCATTTGTGCCGCTTCAGTCCTCTATAAACTCACTTGGATCACTGTCTGGACAGAGTCAGGTGGGCGAATCGAAGGGCCCCCTTCAAAGGAGACAACTGGCCAGGCCAAAGGGAGCCAAGACAGAACAGCCCAGCTCAGGGAGCGCGACCTCGCATTCTGGGACACAGAGCACCACAAGATGACAGACTGTTCTCAGGACAGCTTGAAATACCTGCTGCCTCGGAAGGTTTCCCCACCCCCAGGCACCTTCTTTTTAAAACCCTACACCCTGACCACAGGGCATGACTTCCCTAGGTTACTTGCTAGCCTACGGAACCTTGTCCGAGCGTCCCTCTAATAAAGCTACAGTATTTCTGTTTCTGCTCTCCCTTTGTCCTGTCAGTTATGTTTGTCCACCTCCTTGTGCCTCAGTTTACCTTACAATCGCCAACCAAGCTTCAGCGTGAATTCTTTCTCGTGCAAAGCCAAGGGACCGAGGTCTATTTCTCTCCCACGAGAGACCTAACACTACCATTCGCAGCAGTGTGCTCTAGTGCAAAGCTGAGGGCACTCACTTTAGCTTTCTGCTATGGAACTTGTTTCCAGACCCTCGGACTGCCAGTGAAAGCCTCTGTCTCCATCCTCATGCCCAATTTCCCAACCCAGTTCTGGGTCTAACCCTCCCCCCACCCCTTGTATGCCAAACCCTCTCTGGTCCTGCACTTTTCATTGAGTGACTTGGCATCCTGCGATTAATTACTGATGTGATTGTTTGCTTAATATTGACATCCCACATTTATCTTTCAATCCAATGAAAACAGGAATAATAGCCTTTCCCCACTGTATCCTAGTGCACAGTCTAAGCCATAGTCCCCAAACTTGTTTAGCCTTGTGCCCCCTTTTCAGAAAAAAAATTACTCAGCACCTGTGGGATACAAAAAGATTTCCCCCCAGGTTGTCTCCTGCTTGCTAGCTCGGTGTAGTCAGCTGCTTAGAAGTTTTCTCCCTTTAGGCATCAGCCTACCAGAGCAATCTAGACAATTGTCTGGGGCTCACACCCTACTGATAAGGAAGTGGCTGTTTCCCTGGAGAGCCCAGAGAGTAGGTCAAGCCCATTCAGGGGCAACCAAGGTTAGGCTGCCATCCTAAATCTAAGATCCACCCATCTTGTTACATGTGTACCCCTAATCCTGCCTCTTCCTATTGCGTGTACACCCCTAGATTGTTCCCCTCCCACTGCTATATTGCCTATGGTACAACCCTTTTCTGTGACATAGGTTGTTACCTGTAATCAGGGGAGCTTGCACGCCCCTAAGTATATAGAGGCTTTGGTCAGAAATAAAGAGGCTCTCTTCCCCTCCCCTCCGTCTCCCACCTCCACATGGACCACCAAGAGAGGCTGAGGTGAGCATGCTACCATAAAATGTGTCTGACTCCTTTATTTTATCTTCTTTACGATAATCTTACATATTATCACCGTACAATTGCACCTACAGACCCCCCCCACGATTGTCAGAGGCTGGTTACTCTGACAAGCACCCCCAGCAATTAAAAGCTTTTGTACATAGCCCACAAAGCAGAGTAAAGCATGGTCATTTGCTTTTGCAGGCTCAAGCATAGGAGTAATTGTGAGGATGGCTCGGGACAGGCAGTGTTTTAGAACCAACTTGATAGCACCTAACAACAACAACAGAGAAACAGACGGGTGAGGATGGGGAGCAGGGGGAGTTCTGCTCAATCACTGTGGCTAGAATCTGCCTCTCCGACCCATACTGATAATGGGACATACTGACAGCTTGCCTGTCTTTGAAAACAAAACAAAACCCTGTATCACTTGTGTAGTAGCTCTTTTAAAGTGAATCAAACCAAAAGTAAACATCAAACAAAATTAAGTTATGGGATTTCCAAGACCTAGACAACACTATCAACCAACTAGATCTGGTATTTATAGAACTCTCCACCCAACCACAGTAGAAGATACATTCTCTTAAAATGCACATGAAACATCACCACCCAGTCAGACCATACTCATGGCTATAAAACAACCTTAACCAACGTAAGCTAATTGAAACCACGTCCTGTCGCTATACTGAACTAAAGCACAAAATGCGAGTAAGAGGGCTACTGTTAGATGCATTAAGTCATCGTGACTCCACGCACAACAGAATGCAATGCTGCCAGGACAGTGCGATTTCAGCACTTTCTGTATCACACTCACTGACTCACTGCTGCCCGACAGAACTGGGTAGAACAGTGCTGGTGGGGTTCGAGACTGTAACTCTTTACATGAGGACAGAGCGTCATCTTTCTCCAGAGCAGCAACTGGGGGTTTTGAACTGCTGACCAAGCAATTAGAAATCTGGCAGGGCTCCTCTGTATCAAACTACATTTCATAAACAGTATGGAGAAAGTGAGTACTGCAGGCATACAGTACAGCACCCACAAATATTACACACACTTGGGCTCACGGCCAATGTCACAGTGCTCATTTCATAGAACGACAAGATAAAACCAGAGACAAAAGCTAAGCAAATGTGAGCACAAGTGTTAAGATTTCACTTACAAAAGGGCATTTAGCACTCACCCAAAGGAAGGCAAGACTCTGCGTGGCTGGTCCCGGGTTACTGTCACTCTGATCTTTGGATAGTCACTTATGCCATTGGGAGACTTATTACCTATTTAAAAAATACAGTTGTAATTAGGGAGGGGGAGAAAAAAAAGTAAAACCAATGTGTAAGTAGTCTGCCTAGTAGAAGTCCAACTATTATCTGGCTTTCTCAGATTCTACTACTAACAGCGGGGGTAGGGTGGGGTATTCAGCACACACTGGGTTCAAGTTGGAAACATCAACGTACATGGTGTGTGTCATCTCAGACAGGCACCAAGAGCATGCGCAGGCAAACTCCAGTTTTCCATGCTGGTACTGACAAGAACTTTCAGATTATAAATTCTAATCGAATTGAATTAAGCAAAAATTATTCAAATCTAATTGCTTCTTCACAAGAAATAAATAATTCAGGGATTTTCCTAAGTATAATTGTTTTAAGCCAGTCAGGTGCTACATTTCAATGTGCGAACAGTTTTGAGTTGATGACTACAATTCAGAAAGTGGGATCAAGTCACATTCTCGGCCAGAACAAAGGTTTGGAAGGGGGAGAGAAGCCAGCTGAACGGAGAGTCCCTGAGGGCTCTGGATGAGTTTTTGCAAAGACTATGAGCAGCAAACACATACACTGACTTTGCTCATAAAGGGGCAAAATCTGAGCTGAATGGAAGTGAAGTTGCAGTCTTTATTTATACTGCTTCTCCACCATCAGAGGGCCTTTACTAAACAAGATTGAGAAGTACTGTATTACTCTAAGATGTTTATCATTTCCTTAGCTTATTCTACTCTTGACTTATAAACCCACAACTTCTGAAAAAGTTCACTTTTAAACATCCTTTCCTCTAGACCAGGGGTCCTCGAACTTTTTAAACAGGGCGTCAGTTCACTGTCCCTCACACCCATTGGAGGGTCGCACTATAGTTTTAAAAAAAGTATGAACAAATTCCTATGCACACTGCACATACCTTATTTTGAAATAAAAAAACAAATGGGGCAAAAACACCCAGCGGGCCGGATAAATGTCCTCGGCGGGCCGTAGTTTGAGGACCCCTGCTCTAGACCTTTACAAGCTTACCTGTGTGCTAAGGACTACAACCACTTCTCCCCAGTAGGTCACTGTCTAGCATGTACAATAACTAGTCTTTAGTTTCAGAGTCAAAGGATACGGATGTTAGTACGGGACACAGTGAGAACTATGGACCTCAGGCTGCGCTGTGGTTAGATGATGAGCTCCTCAGAGGTAGGGACAGCTTTTGTCACTTTATTTTTCCTGATAGCCTAGCCCAGTGCCTGGCAAAGACATGGTGGGTCGGTTTGATGAATGACTCCTGGTCTAAGTCACATGAAGGATGACTGGTAATGCACACAGAAAACACAACTGTCAGGTCAGACAACCCTTCTCGAGAGAAAGCAGGATCGCTGGTGAGAATGGTAGAGAGAGTAAGTCCTTGACTGCTCTCATCCCAAACCCAGATTAGGGTTTTCCAACCAGTCTCACATCTCAAGAGAGGTGGGGCAGCAGGAGGTACGGGGAAGCAGAAACATTTCTGACCACCTCACCCAGTTTCAGCATGTTGTTCCAGGACCCAGAGTCTGTTAGTTCACAAGGTGTAGAGTTTGGAAATATCTGAAAACCAAAAAGAATCATCTCTGTAGCACCTACATCCTATAGGTTTGATAAGTTTCTCATATTAAAAAAAAAATCACTCTCTTGATGCTTTAGTACAGCGGTGTGGGTCGTGACCCCTTTGGGGGTTGAATGACCCTGTCACAGGGGTCACCCGATTCATAACAGAAGCAAAATGACAGTGAGGAAGTAGCAACAAAAATAATGTTAGGGTTGGGGGTCACCACCACATGAAGAGCTGCACTAAAGGGTCGTGGCATTCGGGAGGTTGAGAACCACTGCTTTAATAGGTTTGCTAAACAGACGAGATCACCAGTAAGACCAGAGGTTTGAATTGTCTGACTCAAAAATGACTCAAAAATAATAACAACTCTAGGTTCTTCATACACATTTACATGAGGAAACTCCATGCATTAGTAATCATGTTCTTTAGAAATAAATATGCTTGAAATGTTTCATTTCTTAGCCTTTAATTTCTTGATCTTTAACTCAAGGCTAATAAAGGCACATTTCTAGAAAGAAGCTATTCTACATATTAATTCTCCAGAGATTGTTTCTGAAAGTCAACTTTAACAACTGAGTGCAGGTGGAGACCCCCACCCCACTGACCTCTCCGGAAGGGGCCACATTCCGTGTTCCATTACAAGCAGACGTCACCATGGGCTTTGTGGTCAGCTGCAGCGGGAATCCAAACAAGCTGGCAGCATTGTAGAGACTGGTTTTCACTTGGTGAATGAAGCAATCTAGAAAGTGCCAATAAACATGAAGAGTAATACACTTCCAGGTAATAATATTATCTCTTACAAAGAATCTAAATTTCATTATCAATCCTACTTTCAAACACTGAGATAAATAAATGCATCTACAACGAGACTTTTCCTGACTGGATAACTAGAATTCCAATATTGTAATTGGTTTTAGAGTGCAGTACCTGGAATGCTACAAAATCACACCAACATCACTTCAGCAGCTCACAGTCTGACTAGCCAAAACAATGCCCTGAAATTGCAGCTGTTAAGCTACAGCATTAAGTTCCCCAGAATATATCAAATCAATCTTTCGCAAAGACATAAGAGGATAGCAGAGACACCCAGGGGCACGTAGTACCCAGACAGAGTCCTGCAGGAAGCAATGCCATCTCGCACTGGGTTCTCCTTTCCACAGCGGGAAGGACCATGGTACCACAGAACTGCCTTACACAACTGTTTTCTAAGGACCTACTAGATCTTGGGTGTAAAGTAATGAAGCATAAGACATGCAATTCTTCAACATACAACCCCACCTCCCACCCCCAAAGAAAACGGAATTGTGCTGCGCAGAGCAGAGCTTTCGTGGTAAACATTTTCCCCACTAGGTGAGCACTGAGCAACTCGCTCTGAGTTAGTGCATCCAGTGGTGTCACCTGGGAAGGTTCTCTCTGATCACAGTGAATTTTCTTGTAAGAGCAGTTTCCTTGAACCTCGCTTTTTGTGATGGCTGATTTATTAGAACAGCATGCAGCTGTGAAATTTTGTTTCCTGCTTGGGAAAAATGTCACAGAAACTGTTGTGATCTTAAACGCAGCTTACAAGGAGAGCTCTAAAGTGTATGAGTGGTTTCCCCATTTCAAAAAGGGTGACATGTTGATTGATGACAAACCTGGTTCTGGACATCTGTCAACTTCGCAAATGGATGAAAATGTCAACTTGTAGTACATTTGGAGTTCGTTTCATCGGGTCAGACAATAACCAAGCTTTTTATTTAGAGGTTCTGAAGAGACAGTGTAACAGTGTGCAATAAAAAAGACCTGATTTATGGCAGATTGAGGGCTGGTTTTGCCATCACAACAGTGCACCTGCCATCTCAGTGTGCCAGTTTTTGGCAATAAACAGCATGCCCCTTTTGCCCCACACACCTTACTCACCTGACCTCGTACCATGTGACGTCTTTTTGTTTCCACAGATGAAGAGGGACATGAAAGGACAGCAATTTGACAACATAAAAGAGGTGAAGGAAAAAATGAGGGAGGTGCTGTCAGCCTTCCAAACACATGAGTTTGAAAAATGTTTCGAAGAACAGAATCGCAGGTTTGACAAATGTATTAAGTGTAATGGAGGGTCCTTTGAAGGTGTTAAGGTTGTTTTTGAAAAAATTAAATACATAGCTTTGAAGAAGAAGAAAAAAAATTCCTTTTTTTTTTTTTTGGTACCCCTCGTAAGGCTCTCTTGCTTCTGGACACAATGTGTTGGAAGATGACAGGTGCATCTTTCCTGTTTCCCTCGGTTTTTGTACATTGACAACATAAGTACATACATAAGGAAAACCCTTCAGCACTTTCCCCATTTCGTCCATTATCACTAACCTCTGCCTTAAGTTTTCAACATTATCCTGTCTTGCTCTTCTACAGAATTAGTCTCGGAAACCCACAGGGGCAATTCTACCTGTCCTATAGGGTTGCTGTTAGAATTGTCTCAATGACAGTGAGGTTTTTGTTTTCTAAGGCACTCACTGCAGAGATCATCATCTTAGGCACATTATTCTTTAGTTTAGAAGGGGGGGAGACTGAAATGGTAGCTTTTGAGCAATAAGCACTCAGAATATATATTTAAGTATATGTTTTCCAGAACGACAGGAAAATTGATCATTACTGCCATTCAGACCCGAGATGACAAGAGGCATTCTTTGAAACATAGTAAATAGTAGCCACAAAGTAGTAACAAAGTATTCATTAGATTTAAATGAAATATCAACACAGACATGTCTGCTCTCAACGATCACATCTGGAGGGAAACTTAAATCCAGTCTTTTGTAGGGGAGGGGGAATATAGTGTTACAGTACTCCATCATGTCCTTTCCCTTTATGTATTGATTTCTAATTTGATAAGATAAACGCAACATTTAAATAGCCATTGTAATATGTATGATCATATTCGCCATGCTGTGCAATCACCACCACTACCTGCTTTCAGAACTTTTCGTCACCACAAGTAAAAGCCCTGTACCCAGTAAGCACCCACTCCTACTCTCCAGCCTGGGTGGCCACTTGTCAGCTGTCTTCCTGTCCTGCTCTATTCCAGTGTTCCATACAAATAGGATCATACAACATCTAACATCACATCTCTGGCTTATTTCAGTGAGCAAAATGACATGCATGCCATCAAATGTATTAGAACTCAAGCTTCTTGCTTAAACTTTGTTTCTTTTTAACTGTAACCTAGTTTTATTCTCTTCTATCAAGCCCTTCAGATATGGGAAGAGTTTTTGACGATACATTAGATTTATTTTTCACACTCAGCTAGTAGAACTAAATTCCTCAATATGAGTTAGTTTGTTTCTTCCTCAAAGTAAAAAGCATCTTTTCTTTATGGGAAAATTTAGAATTAAAAACCCATCCACATATGAACAGGGCAGTCCCTACTGGCAGTGGTTACCTGTAGGAAAGATGACTGAGCAGCAGAGAGACAAAAAGACTTAATTTTTCACTAAATACACAGTTTACTACTTTCTGAATTTTATTTCATGCAGATATATGCGTCTATTAGGATAATTTAAAAAATTAACATTCAGTACCTAGTCTTGGTCTTTTGGCTGGTATTTCATCAGTGTCCTCTTCTGTGGAAAACAGACTGCTGAAAGGAAATGGGGGAGAAAAACAGTGTATATATATAAATACACACACACACACACACACGCACACACACATATCCTTTAATGTGTATGTAAACATCCCTATAAGTAAACTTACCATTCACACAACACACCCTCTTGCATCCTTTTTACCTTAATATTGGCCAACTGACGTTTTATGAGAACACGGCGCAGTTGTTCATTGCCATCAAGCAGACTGACTACTGGTGGCTTCATGGGCCTGCAGTTTGAGGCGCTAACACTGGGTTTCAATCATTTGCAGACATATAAAACTCCTCGTTATATAAACTGAGAAACAAACTTAAAGCAGGCTATGACTCACTTAACTAGTCAATAAGGCCAGAGCCTAGAATCAGTATACCCCTTTTTCCCCCTTTAGAATGCTTTTAAAATAAGCAAATGACCTCCTTTTAAAAGACCTCAAAGAAAATATACGCAGCTTTAAAAAGTTCTTAGCCAGAAAATACTTTAGCCAGAGGATCTTTGTTTTGCCAGTGGTTTTGAGTTTACTTCGACGTGGCCGGGCAAGCGCCCCTCAGAGGGTTGCGGGTACTGGGCAAGCACACCTGTGATCTGACAGTAGAGTGAGGTTCTCACAACTTCTTTTTGGTATTTTGATTTTTTTCTATAAAAAGAACCCGGCACTTCTCTAGTTCATAGCTGCCCTGCCAGTGGTGTTGGCCGATCAGGAGGGGCCTGGCACTTGGGAGGCTGGACTGCCAGGGGGCTTCCCCATGGTGTCCTTTGCCAGATCACAGGCCTGGGGTGGTGGGGTGGTGGTGGAGGGGGATGGCTTCCCCAGGCAACACAGCACTTCCACAGAGAGCTGTTCCTGGAAGAGGACCCCAGGTGCCAGCAGTAGTCATGGGTGGCCATAGGTGAGCTGCTGGAGGGGACCACCACCATGCTCCCACGGAAGGACAAGGGGCTAAGCCACGGGGTCCACTGGGGCCAGAGGCCACTCCATGACCGCGACTGCGTGGGAAGGTGTCGAGAAAGTGTTTTAACTGCCTCTTTACTCTGGAAATGTCATTACGGTGATAATAAAGAAGTCGTGAATTCAGGAATATTTCCCAAGATATCCCACAGAACGTTAAAGGTTCATAGTATACTCCCATTCATCTGAATCCTTTTGATTGATTATAGTCACAAAACACACACACACACACACACACACAGATTGATTATAGTCACAACACGCACACACACAGATTGATTATAGTCACAACACACACACACACACACACACACACACCACCACCACCACCACCACCACCACCACCCAGAATCCAGGAGAACAGCATTCACTTTTACTTATAAACATGCCAACACACCTTCCTGTCTTGATTTTGACTGAAAGGCGGCTTATATTGAGAGTTGTTCAGCGCATAGGTTCCCCAACTCATTTGGCCTACTGCTCCCTTTTCAGGGGGGAAAAGGTGTCTCAGCTCTGGCAATTAAAAACGATGTCCCCAGTCTTCCCAGATTTGTTATGAAATTAGAAGGCATGTTTTAGATTTCTATTTCCTAAGCTCTTTAGCAAAGCTGAAAGGGGGCTAGTCCATATTTGACATGAATTATGGGTGTAAAACATTGCTTACTTGAGTTTTCTATTTCTGTCCTTGTTCTTTGCCAAAATGATGTGAATATACAGAAGTATTTCTGTATTATTTTAAGAGTTTTAGCACCAGAGCAGTTCGTAATCAATTACAGACCTTTTCAAGGGAAAGCTCAATAATTTTATTCAAGTGTTGCTATTTTTTATATAAAACATAAAAAACAATTAGTGAAACTCACAGTGTGGACTTAGGATGGGGTGGAATCATCAGTATCATGATCTCGCTCTGTAATGAACTTGCAGTAGAAAATCATATTCAGCTGTTGCCTTCCCTTGCCTGCATTCAGACAGTCTGTTCTGCTCCTCCTAGCTAAGCGCCTCTGCTGCTGGTCCCAGAAGGTGTGCTGTCTTTTCCTCCCATGAATAAAGTGCAGATCATGGTCTTAGGTCACAGCTCAAAGTGCTACCATTGTAGATTTATTGTATTGTGTTCATAGCAAGTTTATTTGATCTTCAAGTTGACCAGCAACAGCCTGCTAATGTGGAATCCTCTGTGTGACTCAAATGCATACTTCTGCAGACGTGCACAGTACCACATTCTGCTATCTGTGCTGTGTGCTTGCCAGACAGGTCTGAAGTTGTGCACTTTAACAAAGTTTATTCCAAAACACTTCTTGAGGGCAAAGAGTTGTTGCATAGGGGCCTGAGTTTATGTCGATGGCGGTGGAATAATTTGGAAAAGGATATCAACAATGGTTGTACAACAGGAAGAGTATAATCAATGACAATGAATTACACAAGTATAAGCTGTAGAATTGGATAATGTTCTGTTGTATGTATTATTGCCACAATTTGAAAAAATAATAATTACACAAACAACTACAAGAAAGAAAATGTTCTAGAATTGAATATTATGTCAATTGTACAACTTTTCTTGATATGACTGAATTATTGAATTTTATGACATGTGAATGAAGTGCTAATAAAACTGTTATAAAAATTTCATCTAAGAGCATATGGCTGGCCCCACTATGAGACATGACATCCCTCACTGACCCATAACCCTACAGGGAACAATACTGGAGACAAAGCATGGGAATTCCACCCCATCTGATCCCACCACACCGAGGCTAACCACCAAGGGCGTGCAACAGAACACCAAGGGGAACAGAGCAACGAAATCCCCAGGGAATACCAAAAATAGAATTTGGGGCCAGGGCTTGGCACCCCATCAGACTCCATCGGAAAATATTCCTAAAGGCCAACTAACAGTCCTTGAACTAAATACAAGATTTTCTTTTTTGTTGTTGTTGGGTTGATTTTTTTTTGTCATTGGCTTTTTGTTGTTTTGTTTTCTTTGGTTGCTTGGTTTTGCTCTGTCTTGTTTTTGTGCATGTTATTATCTCCACAGGTCTGTCTAAATAAGATAGGCTGGATGAACAATCTGGAGGAGAAAACAATGGGACCGACAGTTCTGGGGGGACATGGGAGAAGAGGAGGTGGGTGGAAAGGTAGTTAACAAACTCAGGGACAAGGGAACAACAAGTGATCCAAACCGGTGGTGAGGAAGGTGTAGGAGGCCTGGTAGGGCGTGATCAAGGGTAATGTAACTGAGAGAAATTACTGAAACCCAAATAAAGGCTGAGCATGATAGTGGGACAAGAGGAAAGTCAAAGGAAATAGAGGAAAGAGCTAGGAAGCAAAGGGCATTTATAGAGGTCTAAATAAAGACATGTACACATGTATATACTGTATAGTTATATATGAGGATGGGGAAATAGATCTATGGTCATATATTTATAAGTTTAGTATTAAGATAGCAGATGGACATTGGGCCTCCACTCAAGTACTTCCTCAATGCAAGAATGCTTTGTTCTTTTAAACTGGCATTCCAATCGCTGAAGACAAAGTGGGTGCATAAGCAAATGTGGTGACGAAAGCTGATGGTGCCCAACTATCAAAAGATATAGCGTATGGGGACTTGAAGGTAAACAAGTGGCCAGCTAGCTCAGCAGCAACAAAGCCCACATGGAAGAAGCACACCAGGCTGTGTGATTATGAGGAGTCCAAGGGATCAGGTGTCAGGCATCAAAGAACAAAAAATTGTATCACTGTA